TATTATTTCTTTTAAAGATCAATAAATATTTTTTATTTTAATAATAATATTATTATTCATTTTAATTATTTTTTATTTATTTTTAGTAAATTTAATTTGACTTTTTAATTTCTTAAATATGAATTTTAAATAAAAATTTAACAATTTATATAAATGGTAATTAAAAGTTGTTTCTTTTTATATAAAGTTTTTATTGAGTACTTTTATTTAATAAAAACTTTTCAATTATTATTTACTTCCTCTATCTCAAAATAACTATTATTTTCATTTTTTTTTCAAATTAAGTATTTGGGGATAATTTAGGTATTTATTATATTATTTTTACAAAAAAATTAAAATATAAAATAAGATTTTTTTGTGATAGGACAATTAATCAAAACAAATAGAGAGTGATAGGGTTAAAGTAAAAAAAAAAAAGATTTATCTATCTTGAAAAATAAAAAAATAACAAATAATTTAAGACAAACTCAAAATCAAACAATGACAATTATTTTAAGATGGAAAGAGTATATAATATGTCAAATTTTCATTTAAAATTCATGTTTGAAAATATAAAAAATCAAATTAAATTTACTAAAAGTAAATGGAAGGAGCAATTATTTAATCACAATTTTTTGTATCTTTTATTTCTTTTTAAGGGTATTATACCCAAATCTTTAATTTAAAAAAAAGTAAAAAAATGATAGAAGGAGTAAATATACTTATTTTTTATACCATGCCTAAAGTCTATTTAATTAGAGGTCTAAGTTTATCAAGAAAGTTTTATTAGAAAAGTGGTTAGGAAAATAGTTAGGAAAACACTATATGAAAAGTTCATGATTATTGTACAAAATTAATAAGTTTTGTAATGAAATTTTATTAAATTATTAATTGATATTAAAAATAAAAAAAATACATACCAGTTTCAACTTTTAAAATAAATTAAAGTGCTTTAAATTATATTATTTTATTTAATTAAAATTTAATTTAAAAATTAAAAAAATTATTTTATTATCATTAATTTGT